AGGTCTAGCTGTCACACCCAAAATCCATCATTGGACCAGGCTGAGCATATAGCTCAGTGCAAAGGCCCTGGATTCAGTCCCTAGTAACACACACACACACACACACACACACACACACACACACACAAACACACACACCCCAAAAATCACACACACACAAATAAGAAACCAACTGACAATAACCATAAGGATTTACTTCTGAACTTTTTGACTGAATTGTCTGAACTCTACTCCATTAATTTATATGTTCATCCTATGTCCATGCTACAGCACCTTCATTATAGTAGTTCTGTACTAGGTTTTGAAAGGAGGATCATTGTCAGTTCAAGGCCATCCTGGGCTATATGGCAAGTTCAAGCCCAACCTGAACTGCATAGCAAGACCCTGTCATTCCCCCCCCCCACCCAGGCTATTTAAGTTCAATTCATCAATTTCTCTAAAGATGTCACTGAAAATTTTAAAAGATTGTATTGAATCTGTAGATTTGAGTAGTAATGTCACCTTAATATTATATGTGCCAAAGAACAATATTATGTATCCCAATCTATGAACATGGTAATTTTTTCCATTTATTTAGGTTTCTTTTTTATGCAGAAGATATCTTTCTTTTTTCCACAATTTTATTGAGAAACAAATAACAATGAGACAGTTTCAAATCCGATTAGTAAGACGTTTCAATAATTAATACATTGCATATTATTGTCTTAGTGGTTATTCACTGTATAAGATGCAGACATGTAATCCTGTTTACAAACACTATTGGAACAAATCTTTCTATTCATTGATTAAGAGAATGTAGCTGTATATCTATCCTAACTATTTTGAATATACAGATACAAAATGGTCATTCATTTGTGTCCTCTTTTTTTTGTTTAGTTTTGTCATTTAACTATTATAGGTGTGGGCTGGTGAGATGGCTCAGTGGTCTAAAGCACCTACTTAGAACAAGCTTAACAAAGCACAAGGACCACGGTTCAATCCCCCAGCACCACATGCCAGCCAGCCCCGCCCCCTGGTGGGCTGAGCTGGCCACACACACACA